TTTCTGTTTTGCGAAGAAAAGGAGCTGAACACCTTTTGCAGAGAACACCTTTCTGCGTAGGCGGCCTTTGGCCGCACTTAGGGATTATAACCCTCAGGCAATAGAATTCTCCTTTCTGTTTTGCGAAGAAAAGGAGCTGAACATTTTGTTTTGTATTGATTTCCCCTGTATTCCTTTTTAATCAATGCCTTCTTTGTATGTATTGTTTTGTACAATATGGCAACACATGTTATGTGTCAATGTAATTTACAAGTCGATAAAAGTTTAATTAAAGTGATTTATATACAAGATAAACTAAAAGAAAAGTGTGTAAAGTATTAAGTACAGTGTTATGTGCATTTATATATATAAAAGTATGCACAAATGCCTTTTTGTTAAGGAAACCAAGTGGAACGACTTAAGAAATTTTAACAACAAATAACTTATAAACAATGATATTATTTATATTTTTTAGTTATACATGTTTTAGAGGATACCTCCCTTAACATCCTGACCAAGTTTCATTTGTTAATTCCACCTGGTTTTCTTAAAACACAAGGTGCGGCTGACTACTAAAGCCCACCCATTTTTTCTTCTAAATCAAAGCGTGCCATGTGAACATTGTGGAAGAATACAAGTGAGATATCTTAGGGTTGACAGATAGTTGACAGGGTGTTCAATATGGCGATGACAGTGTGAACAATATGGCAGCCAATGGCATACAACACCGAATGGCCCGAAGCAAGGTGTATTAAACAAGGTGGTGTTGGGGCGACAGCTGAGTTTTTCGCCGTGGAGGCCATTACGTCAAAATTATGTGTTTGTTGTAACTCATACCAATGACAGTATGGACATCAGCGTATAATTTGTTAGTGTAATTTTTTACTTATATACGGCCAACACCACCTTGTTAAATACGCCTTGGCCCGAAGTAGCCAAACTACGACCCGAATGAAACGCTTCGTGAAAATCCAGGGTTGCGAAGTGGTATTTTGTTGGAAAATATAAAAGCCAGGATTTTGTGCAGCGCCGAATTTTAACAAAAGAGGGTTTTGTGTTCTCAAGATGAACAGAAAAGGGTTGCTGTGCTGTTTCGTTTTAAGCTTATTTTAATCTTAAGGTATCTAATTAAATATTAAAAGGAGACAAAAATTAAAGCAAAAATTTAAAATATATGTACATATCTGAAAATTTTAAATAAAATATATATTTTCACGAGAGACAAATTAAATAAAATGGGGTAACTTTAGGGGAAATATACTTATCAGATTGGGTCAGATAGCGCTTTAACGTTATAAATAAAAATAATTCCTACTTAAATTTTATATAATTTTGGTGACGTATTTCTAAGCTGACCCTGAGATCTGTGAAATAATGCATATTTATGTGCATATATTGTGTTGACTATGCTATAAATCGCTAAATAATTCTTGCAGCAATCAGCACCATTAGAAAGTGAAGTGACAATAGGCTGGTTTTCTTTATACAGCCCGTTTTAAATTCGAATTATTGTTATAATAAATTACAAATATTGTTTGTTTCCATTTCGGTCAACCGCGCAAATTATTTATTAAAAAAATGTCGTTTAAAAATAGCAATTTTGTTTACTTTTGAATAAGACTTTATCGAGTGCGCTATAAAGACAGGGGGATAAATGCTGTAAAGAAATATATGTTGAGTCCAATCGGTTTTTTGCTAATCCGGTTTTTGTGTAGGTATAAACAAGGTATATTAAAAAAATAAATCTCCATGAAAAAATATCGTTATTTTCGCATTTAAAATTAATCGGAATTTTATGGGGGGTTATAAAAACTCGTTTTAATTGAAACTTTGTTTTTTTCGGCTATATTTGT